CATGGAACCATTGCAACTGCATCAATCGTTTCACCCATGTAAGCACTTGATGAACCGTAGCAATCCCTGCAAAGAAAAGAGCATTCCCAAGGGGCAAATTTGTTGCACTGGCAGACACAAGTAACTAAAAACTACTCCCTCTATAAACAAATATAAGATGTTTTATGTCACCGCTATTTTAGTGACCTAAAGCGTCTTATATTTGTTTAGAGAGGGAGTATTTGAGATGTGAAAAAAACTCAGATATTTGAAGCACCAAACCAAACACGTTTTACTGGCACTCCAGTTATATGTTAGGAAAAGCTAACAGCAACAGGAGGTTCTCCTACCCAGTAATAGCAGGGCTGTTAAAAATAATACAGACACTAACTGAAATCAAGGGGTATAATTTTGGAAAAGGCTACAATTTTTTTTTATCATTCATATACCTCCAAGAACAGATTAAACCATTCATTCTCATATCTATATATGTCACCAGACAAAGATGATAGCCAAGATTTCAACAGTTTCTTGCTCCAATGCAATAGTTATGTCGCCCATAAGCATACATAAAACTAGGGCACAATAGATGTGCTAGAGAGAACACATCAATACAAAAGCCACCATCAGATCAGAAGGCCAGATGAACTACCAAATGCCTCAATACCCTCCACTTTTCACTTATATAGATATAGTCGAGCTTAGCTATGAGATTACCCACAAAGCCAGCCATCCACTAGAAACAAGGTTAACTAAATCCAAGCCGACATGCACATCCCAGAAATAAGTAATCACATCATCCACCTACGCAATCCTACTGTTAGAACAACCTCCTCTACACCAGAGAACGAGCATTGCCAGTTTCTGAGGTGATGTCGCCTGAGCTCACTAACCCTGAACCTATTAAAAAAAGTCAAATGTGAAACAATGCAGGAAGTTTAATTCATGAAGAATAAACGATATTTGATAAAAAGGGAAAGAATAAACAGTGAGCTTGACAGTTCTACCACTGGATGATGAAGAAGCACTGCCTGGACCCGAACCAGCAGAGACACAGCCTCAGTGCCCTTCTCTGTCTCCACTGGTTGGCATCTCATCGTCAGTATCTACAGTAAATACTAACATACTCATCCACCTGCTCCGCCGCTAATACATTCGTCCCGCTCTCCTGTAAATATCTAAACAAAACAGAACAACATGAGAGTCCAATTTGCATATGCACCAACTGAAAACGGGAACAATACTTGCTGTTTCCTACGGCCATTTACCACATCAGCATTTTCAACGAATGTAGACACAGCACCATTCGCTGCCTCAGCGCGCTAGCACCATCGGAGACCTCGGCAATGTCCTTCTGCGGTAAGGATCTGGCCGCAGCGCTCCCTCGTAGCTGCCCGGAGCTTCGCCGGTGGCAGGGGCAGATCCTCCTTCGGCTGGCCCTGCTGATGCTCCTGATGCCACGAATCGACGCGGGAGAGGAGGGCGCATCACTGGCCGATCTCGCTCCCTGGAGCGCACTGGAATCGCGGTGGGCCAGCCCCGCGGCCGGAAGACCAGGCATCCGGCCGGCGGCGAGACCAGACAGGAGCTTTCGCAGTTTTTTTTTTCAGGGAAAAGAGCTTTTCCTCGGATGTAACA